GCACCCACCGTCGCTCTTCGTTTAGGTTCCAAAACATGTGGGTTCGCCACCACTCCTTCCACGACACTGATTCCTGGCTTCAGCCGACTGGGCTCTTCGGGATGCGCAATCTCGAGGCGAAGCTCGGCAGACTGCGGCGTCGGTTGAGACAGTGGAACTGGGATGTTTTTGGAAACCTTCATCAGCGCCTTGCTGCGGCTCAGAGTGCGCATGCGACGGCTGAGCGGGCCTATGACCTGGATCCCACTCTGGAAAATAGGACTGCCATGCACCGCTGCCACGCCGAGTACCAGCTCCGACTCCTTATGGAGGAGGACTTCTGGAAGCAGAAGGCGGCCGTTCGCTGGGTGGCCGAGGGCGAGCGGAACACTAGGTTCTTCCAGGGCTACGTTAGGCAGAAGCGTGCTAAGTCGTACATCCATGTATCGAGGCTGATGGGTCATCCTTGACCCAGGAGGCTCAGATTCGGGAGTCGGCTATTGCTCACTTCCAGACCCTCTTCACCTCTGACAGAGGGTCCCTTGTGGCCCCGAACGCTTCTTTTTTCCCCACCATCCCTCCTTCGGTCGATCTCATTGGCCTCTGTGAGCTCCCGAGCAGGGAGGAGGTTAGGGATGCTGTATTCGGGATTGATCCCAACAGCGTTTCTGGCCCGGATGGTTTCTCCTCCCTCTTCTATCAGGTCTGCTGGGATATTGTCGAGACTGACGTCCAGGAGGCGATGTTGGATTTTTCCTCCGGCCACCGGATGCCGGATTCCTTCACGTCTACCTCCGTCGTCTTGATCCCCAAACGACCCAACCCGAGCTCTTGGTCCGATTACAGGCCCATCAGCCTGTGTAACGTGACCAACAAGCTCATTTCGAAGATTCTTAACGGCCGTCTTTCCCCTCTTCTCCCCTCTCTCATCTCTCCGAACCAGAGTGGATTCGTCAAGGATCGGGTCATTAGTGATAACATCCTTCTGGCCCAGGAGATGATCCACGACATCTCCCGAGCGGACTGGAAGCGGGCTCCGAATATCGCGCTGAAGCTGGACATGGCTAAGGCGTATGATAGGGTTGAGTGGCCGTTTCTTAGGGAGGCGTTGGCTAGGATGGGATTCCCTGAGCGTTGGATCAGCTTTATGGAGGCGTGTGTGGAGCATTGCACGTTCTCGGTCCTGATTAATGGCAGCCCCACCGATTTCTTTCCCTCCTCTAGAGGCCTCAGACAGGGCGACCCCCTTTCCCCTTCCCTCTTCGTTCTTGCGGCAGACTACCTCTCTCGCTGCCTTGACGGCTTCATCCGCGACTCTCCCCATATGACCTATAGCACCCGTGGCTATGGTCCTACCATCTCTCACCTCTCTTATGCGGATGACATCATTATCTTCACCCGGGCGAATGATGATGGACTGGTCGAGCTTATGCGCCTTTTAGAGCACTATGGCTTGGTCACCGGTCAGCTGGTCAGTGTGCAGAAGAGCACCTTCATCCTTTCATCTGCTACCGTAGACAGGTGGGCTCAGAGGGTCCACGACATTACTGGTTTTGCGCGTGGCGACCTTCCCATTACCTACCTCGGGGTCCCTTTATATAAGGGCAACCTCACGAGAGCGCTCTTTGCGGGCGTCAGGCAGAGGATGATCGACAGGATCTCCGGTTGGTCGCATAGATATCTTTCCTTCGGTGGTCGGCTAGCGCTGATCAAGAGCACTCTTAGCTCTCTTCCGATTCACTTGCTTATGGTCCTCGACCCCCCTAGGTCTACTCTTGACGAGATTGACCAGATTATGGCTCGATATTTCTGGGGCTATGAGGACGGGTTCGGGAAGGGGAGACGTACTCACTGGGTGAGTTGGGACTCTATCTGCCGCCCCCTACCCGAGGGTGGCCTTGGCATACGCCGCCTCAGGGACATGGTTACAGCTTTCTCATACAAGCTGTGGTGGCGCTTCAAGGAAGGAAAGTCGCTATGGGCCCAGTACCTTCGCGGCAAGTACTGCCCTAGACGTGCCAACCACCCTTGTTGGGTCACGGCTGTTGATCACGATAGCAGACAGTGGCGGCGCCTCACTAGGGTCGGGAGGCGAGCCCAGGATCACATCTTTTGGGTTTTAGGCGGGGGCGATGTCAGTGTCTGGGATGAGTGGTGAGTAGGTGATAGGCCGTTGTCTAGGGATATGCAGGTGTCGCATTCCCCCTACCTGCTCGTGAGCGACCTATGGACGGATGGGTCGTGGGATAGGGGGAAGCTTGATAGGGAGTTGGGGGCTGGTGCGGGTTTTAGCGAGCAGTTATTAGATCAGATTCAGCAGATCCCTATCTCGGGGGACGGTTCAGATAGCAGGAGGTGGAGACTTACATCATCAGGTGTGTTTTCTACTACCTCGGCTTGGGAGCAGATAAGGCTGAGGGATCGGCCTAATCTCCTCTTCGGGGCTATCTGGAGTGACCTTTTCACGCCTACTATTTCGGTGTTCCTTTGGCGCCTCCTCTTGCGCCGGATACCTGTTGATACTGTGCTACACGCGAGAGGAATCTCCTTCCCCTCTCGGTGTGTGTGTTGTTCTGAGACTGGACGCCATGAGACTGAGACCTTTACCCACCTTTTTCTAGTGAGTGAGATTGTGAGGAGAGTGTGGGAGCATTTTACCACTTGGACTCATATATCCCTACCCACCACATACAGTTTTTTTGAGCTCCTGAGTTTTTTCTCACAGAGCACACACCTTAGACACGTGGGCTTCCTCATTCCTTGTTTGATCCTTTGGTTCACCTGGACAGAGAGGAATAGTGCGAAGCATAGGGATATTACTTTTATGCTTTCTCACATTGTTTTGCAGGTAGAGAGACACATTTCACTCCTCACCGCATTGGGCAGGCTCACGGCCCGAGACTGGACAGGATGCACGCCACCGCATCGCTACATGGTGGCCCCACCACTGCCTGTTCGGCCTCCTCGGGCCAAAGCTGTTGTTTGGCTTCGACCTCACTCTCCGTGGATCAAGCTGAACACTGATGGCTCCTTCGATCGCCACACTAGACTTGCCGGAGGAGGAGGCTTGATTCGGGACCATAGCGGCGCCCTCATCACCGCCTTCCACGCGTCCATTCAGGCCTCCTCGAGCTACGATGCAGAGATTCAGGCACTACAGATTGGCCTTCAGATTGCTGTCCACCTCTCTAGTCATATATGGATTGAGCTGGATGCTGCGGCTATCGCTACCCTCCTGACTTCGGGCCATCAGGGCTCGTGGCAGATTCAGCACCCCCTTCTGCGCATCAGAGATCTACTTCGGTCAGTCCATCACAGGATCACGCACATTTTCCGTGAGGGGAACAGACCGGCTGATTACCTGGCCACCCTTGGCGCCACCATACCAGGCACACATACTTTCCAGACCAACATTGCTCCACTCCGCCTTCGCACTCTTGTACGGATGGACCAGCTTGGATATCCAGCGTTCCGCTTTCACTAGTATAGGATTTCTATTTTCATTAGTATAGACTTTTATCTCGGGCATCTGTTAGCCCGAAGATCGACTTTATACTGTAGTTTTTGGTTTCTTTTTCGTTTTTCGATTTTTCTTTCTTGGTTGTTTCTTTTGTTTTTGTTTTTGATCGTCAGACTATGTAGATCTCTGTATCTGGTTCGTTGACATTTTGGGCTCCCGTTTTTGGGGCCCTGATCTATGCACAGGTTGGGGATCCAGCCCAATCCCCCGCCCTTCCGGGGCGTTGTTGGTTGGGGATCCAGCCCAATCCCCCGCCCTCCCGGGGCGTTGTTTGTTAAAAGAAAAAAAAAAAAACCTAGCAGCGAGAAAGAAATAACCTAGCAACAAAAGACAACTAACCTAGCAACATCAGACGCCTTGGCGCCACCATACCAGGCACACATACATTCCAGACCGACACTGCTCCACTCCGCCTTCGCACTCTTGTACAGATGGACCAGCTTGGATATCCAGCGTTCCGCTTTCACTAGTATAGGATTTCTATTTTCATTAGTATAGACATTTATCTCGGGCATCTGTTAGCCCGAAGATCGACTTTATATTGTAGTTTTTTTTGTTTCTTTTTTGTTTTTCGGTTTTTCTTTCTTGTTTTTCCTTTGTTTTTGTTTTTGGTTTTGTTTTTTATTGTCAGACTATGTAGACCTTTGTATCTGGTTTGTTGACATTTTGGGCTCCCGTTTTTGGGGCCCTGATCTATGCACAGGTTGGGGATCCAGCCCAATCCCCCGTTCTTCCGGGGCGTTGTTTATTACAACTAACCTAGCAGCATCAAACAACTAACCTAGCAGCAAGAAAGAACTAACCTAGCAGCATCAGACAACTAACCTAGCAGCAAGAAAGAAAAATAACCTAGCAACAAAAGACAACTAACCTAGCAGCATCAGACAACTAACCTAGCAGCAAGAAGAACTAACCTAGCAACAAAAGACAACTAACCTAGCAGCAAGAAAAAAATAACCTAGCAACTTAAGACAACTAATCTAGCAACAAAACTCAACTAACCTAGCAGCTACAAATAACTAATCCAGCAACAACAAACAACTAACCTAGCAACAAAACACAACTAACCTAACAAGAAAGAAATAACATAACAAAAGACAAATGGTCAACGTCGGAAGTCAACGCCGGAGTCAACGGTCAACGCCGAAAGTCAACGATTTTCGCCGAAAGTCAACACCGGAAGTCAACAGTCAACGCCGGAGTCAACGGTCAATGGTCATAACAATTTTTAAATAATTAAAAATAAAGAATTAAATAATAAAAATAAAGAATTATTATTTAAATCAAGATCTAAATCTTGTGGCTAGAAATGAGTCTCACGTCCTCACTTTAAATAATGAGATGCATTAGAACCAATCCCTATATATATATATAGATTATTGCTAGACTACAGACATTCTCATCGTGTATGTCTTTGCTATATGTTGCTTTAGTCGGATATTACTACTACCCGCTTTCAAGATTGTACATACTTATTTTTATCTATAAACTCTTCCGTTCCAAAAAAATAAAAACATAAGCATTAGTTTTTGTACAATCAAACAACCAAAACAGAAAAGCAAAATTTTAAAAATATGTATCTCGAAGTATTTAGTTCAATCACTATTTTACACGACAGTTAACCCAAAAGGCCAAACTTACCTATGCGATTTAATAATAGAAACTATCCTTTCCTTACCATGCTTCATTATTATAAGGTAATTCAGGATTTGCACAATTATAATAATCCAACCCAACTACTATAAAAGACTTCTTTTGCATGGACCATTGTATGTTTATAGTCTCCTCTCGCCCGGTGATTCTCCCAAAAGATTTCACACCTGAATTTTTACACAGCATTCACTTAAGGCAGAAATTATCAACTTCTTCCTTTTTCTTGATAACTTGAGGCACAAGTTAAAAAAGCACGAGCAACATACCATCATTTGAGGTACTTTAAGCAGTGCAAATGCCAGCACATATAAAATGCTCCCAATCACCACACCTGCTGCTAGATTTTGCCAGAGACGCTTATTGTCCTTGATGGGAACAAATGCCGTTTTCAATGTATTCGTGAGTTCAAAAAGCCTGTACGACACCTGCAAAAGGGTACAGAATTAGAGAGGGCACATGTATCATGAGCATGATCCTTGTTCAAATTGGGCTATTTATATAGGCTGCGAATGGAAATGAGTGGAAAAATAATATACCGCAATGTATATGGAAGTAGTGAGCATGAAGTTTAGCAAGGGGTAATTTGGGATTATTGAAAGTAACAACTTTGGTTGACCGTCTGGCACGCCTGACCTGTATTTGAATCAATTGAAAAGCAGCTGAACAAATTATGTTGCTAGTAATTAGGCCGTCATAACACTGAGAATCATTCTTGAAAAGTGTTCAATATATTGGATCTTGAATTATCTTTATGAATTTGCCAAAATTCGTCTCAGACATGAGTATATATCTATACTCACATATTATATGATTTATGTATAACACTTAATACAGTACCTTAACCATATATGGATCTGAGAGATATAAGTCTCCAAAGTAACTTTCCCGAGCCATCTATTCATCAAGAAAAATAAATGTCTGATTAAAATATTCCCGGAAACAGAAATGTTCATGTTCTTCAATGGATTAAAAATCCAAAAAGGGAAAACAAAAGTAATCAAATAGATGATGGACTCTGGGCTTACGCAAAAAGAGTCAACGTGTAGCAGCGGAAATGCTGAGTCACATTTCGCAGACATATGTATACTCTGACAAGCAGACACACCAAAAAACATATAGAAAATGACATGAGAAGTAGAACCATATAATGTGCACAAACAAACAAAAAGCAAAAGGAAAAGAAAAACAAATGAGCCGTAAACATAAGCATACGTGATTGGGATCCATGATGTATAAGGATGATATTTGTTATATGTAATTTTCGGAAGCTTGTACACATACTCCACCCATAGATATCCAATCTGCAATAGCAAAAAAAGATTGATTTAGGCGTAAACTTGGTGTGTTCAATCATGAAGTGAGAATGGCACACATACTGCCAAGGCAGCGGTTGCGACAGCAGACTTGATAATTATCTTGTGCTTTATTTCAGCTTCCTCCAACTTTTCCATCCATCTTTCCACCTGAAAATAAATAAATCCAAATAAGTTAAAAAAAGAAAAGAAAAGAAAAAAGAACTATGGGTTTAAATTAGCAAGCTATCAATAGAAGTGAAAAAAATTGCATTGAACATGCAAAAATCTTACCGTTGGATGGTAATATGCATATATCATCCCAATTATCCAAATATATCGGTCAAGGCCTGAACGGAAATGCCATTCATGCAAAACGGGAAGTTGTACTTTTGAAGCTGGATCTCTATATCCTGCAACACATATTCACCGACAGCTTACAAGTGAGACATAAATTCAAATTCACAAGGCACAAATATAGGTTAATTCAGTTAGTAAATTGTACTTAAGCCCCTAAATTGTGGAGCTCTTTCTCCCATACTTTTCCCACCAAAGATTTATTTGTTGCACACAATCGCTTAAACTATGCATAATTCTCGATTTGCCTCCTGAACCATCTCATATTCTTTCATGTGCAGACAGGTATAATGAACAACAGTTTTTCATTCGTCAAGGACAAGGTGCATAAAAAGCTACTCAAGGGCTAAAATAAAGCCAAAAAATTGTGTACATATACGAAAAAACTTCACAGTTCAGGAGCTTAATGTAGTATAGTTCAACTTGAGCCACTTACTAACCTAGCAAGAAAGAGAAGGGACTCCAGATGAGCTCAAAAACCCCAGGCACTTCCCACAGAAGAATGACCACCAAGAAGCAAGCAACTATTTTTGCAGCTATAACAGTCCCATGCTCATTATACTTGTTGAAAATACCAAGGGCCCCATATACCATGAGAGTAAAAAGAGTGTGCATGGGACATATGTAGTACAACATGTAATTGTTATTAAGCACGACACAGCAAAAAAACACCAGGAAATTCAACCGCCACATCATCTACAAAAATAAAAAATTGATATCAGGATAAGGACAGGACACCACAGGATATTGCTAAAATGAAAATGAGAGGAGTTTCTGTGAGACTGTATCCGAATTCTCCAATTCAATAGAGTGAGCAACTCGATTAGTGAAAACAGTTTATTATTACTCATAAAAGAAAATCAAAGGTCAAGTTGGGAAGAAAAAAAAAACAAAGAATTTACCTGAATAAATCTGGCGAGGCTAAAATCCTTGCGGATGTAATAATATGAAAAATTCCCAAATCCTGTCATCCACACATATGCGGCGATGAAGACTCTTATGGCATTGTAGATTTCTGTTGCGGCAAAGTAGTGGTACATGAGAAACAAAACCTGTAATGCAGGCAAATAATAGCCGAGATTGTTCATTCCAGCTTGATTAAGTTGTAAAAGTACTAGCTGAATGCAGGATAAAAGTTACCTGCATCCAGCCTTTCCACTCCTCAGTTTGATGCCTGTTTAGATACATAATTGACTTCCCAGAGAATGGTGACTTGTCATTGTGGATCTTGAACGAGGTAATTGCTGATATGATGATGAGAAGGAAGTAGAGGAACAAGAAAAGATCCCGATTATAACTCTGTCAGCAAAAATGTTAAAACTTATTAGAACACTTATTAAGAGAGAGCGGATTACATTAGAACATTATGAGCAGTACTAGTGCGGATGTGGATAAATCACATGTTTGAAGCTCTCCACGTTCTCTATGCTACAAAACTTATCAGAAATTGCATATCACGACATGTTCTTAAGACACGTCGATGGGAATGGAATATATAATGGCCACAGCTATTTGTTTTATCCTTCTTGTGAAGAGATTCAGTTCATTCTATCTCATTTTCATAATTCATTACTGTGGAAGGTCCTACCCTAAAACTGTGTGTAAGATATGCATAAACCAAACTAAGAGAGAGACCAGCGAATCCGACCTTTTTTGATTCTCCGAGAAGGTTTGTACGGTCACATAGGTAAAAGTAGATTAAAAGGGCACCAAACTCTGATCTGCAGGAGAGAAACCAAAATTGTAAAATTAACCAAGAGAATACAAAAGGTCTTAAAAGTAAGAATATAAATAGCTTGAGAATTCGCTACTTCATACATACATGGCTCTCAAAGTCAATCGATTTTCGAGCAAGAATGACTCATCCAATATAAGCAACCTGATAAAACACTCGAACAATGATTTCAGACTCGTTTAAACAACATTAACATCCGAGTAAGTTTAATATCATTTTTCACAAACCTGACAACATGGGACATTACAGACGAACTCCGCCCTTTAGGGGGTACCGACTGAAGGCCACCTCCTTCCAACAGAACCGCTTTATCATCTTCTTGGACTACTTCACCCAACTCAACCAAATTAATATCAGAGTTCCTTCCTCTGAAATGCAAGGGATTTTAAAGGTACAACTCAATACTCATGGTCAGAATATAAAAGGTACATATGATCTTCGGAGGCACAGTCATTCAACTATTCTCGTCCTGTTTATATAATAATTCTGAACTCAGGTTAACAGCAGAATTAATCATGAATGTACTGAAAGAAATAGCTATTTGTCTTCTATTCTCGAAATATCATATTTCTTAAAAATTAAAGGCAATGATAACAATTATTTCATATTTTCATAAGGCAGCTCCTTTTTTATCAAGGAAAGTGCTAGTTTAGCAGCAAGATTAGCTAACAGACCCATATACTATACACATATAATATTCCAAATGTCTTCATAATATACTAAAAAATTATTTTGAAATGAAGGACAGCGTGCTTCCACGTACAGCTTATGAGACGAGCAATTTTTTCGGTGCTCTAAATATTCCGCAAAAAGCCAAGCAGCAAATACTGGTATAACTCCAAGGAAAAAGGACACCTGCATTTATAAACGTTAGAAGAACAAACCAAGACATTCTAGCTCATATTGAAGGTCTCAGGGCTCATAACTGCAGAATAGCACAAAAGTCGATGTACAAAATAAAAATAAACAAATTCACTTCAAGCGTTTCACATTTACTTCAAAAGTGTAGCAAAATCAACTGCATTTCACATATTATTAAAAAAAATAAAACTTAGAAAAGGTGCCCCTCCAATTACACGCTCAACACTCGCCGTCACTGTCATTACAGCCTAAGGCCGAAATATCAAACGCATGGAAGTACTATGAGCAAAAACGAGCGATCGATTGACAAACCTGGCCAGGCGTTAACGGTCCATAGACCACCATTTTCCTCCACAATAACTTCAAATTGGATCAGAGAGCATATACGCGTATGTACACAGGCGGGAATCTGTACTGAGAAAAAATGAAGAAGGTATAAATTTGAAAATATCAACTCTAAGAGCATGTTTGTTTTCCTATACAAAATTAGATTAATTTTAGGGTTAATTGCAAAAAAAAAAACCCGACCTTTCTTAAAGTTGTAAAAAAAAACTCAACGTTTTCGATTTAGCATAAAAATATCCAAGTTTTCAAAATTTTTGCAATTGTGTCTCGAAGGAAAATTCCGGTCAATTAGTGCTGAGGTGGCCTATCGGAAAACTTACGTGGCAAATTCAATTAGTCCATGTCATCTCATGAATGCCACGTCAAACTCAAATTCTTTTTTTCTTCTTTAATAAATTCAACGCTTATCCCGTTAATCTCTCCTCTCTCAGCATTGCCAACCTTTTTCATTTTTTCTTTCTTTTCTTTTTTGGTCCTCTCTTGCTCTTATCCATCCTCCCCATTCGCCACCAGCCCTCTTTCTGATTTTGACGTTCTTTCTTTCACCCACTCGCAAAATCAATCAATACATAAAAAGGTGCATTTTTTTTTCCTTTATTGCATTCCGGTCAACAATTATTAGTAGAGGTGGTGGCGGTGGCGATGAAATCGACGGGGAGGAGTTTGCTGTGGGGATTGCTTTTCTTGTTGTTGTCCGTTGAGCTGGCGTTTGGCAATGTAGAGACCAAGAAAAATGTATGAATTTACCCGTTCTCTATTTAGGGTTTTGTTGCTCGAAGATTTTAGGGAACTCGATTTTCGGATGAAGAATCGCCAGAGGCGCGGCGTGAAGAAGATGGTGAACTCAATTTGTCGGATGAAGAAGGAAGAGAGCGGTCGTGCGTGTGTGAAGAAGGTGGAGATTGCTCTGCGTGAAGTTTTCTGCTTTTCTGTGTCTGTTCCTCTGATTCATCGTGTTGGAGATTGGGGCAAATTATATCTCTTGATTTTGACGTGGCATTCATGAGATGACATGGACTCCTACTTGTACAATGATGTGGCACCGAGTATTAATTTGTATTTTCTACGTCAATGTTTTGTTGCCACGTAAGTTTTTCGATAGTCCACCTCAACACTAATTGACCGGAATCTTCCTTCGAGACACAATTGCAAAAATTTTGAAAGCTTGGGTATTTTTATGCTAAATCGAAAACGTTGAGTTTTTTTTGCAACTTTAAGAAAGGTCGGGTTTTTTTTTGCAATTAACCCTTAATTTAATCTTAAGAGGCAAGATTATATTATTTAGATTAGATTGATCTTATGTTTGTTATGTAAGACTAATACGTTTAGATAGTGTTAGGGATTAATTTGATCTTGCATTTTGATACGTCACATTTGGTCACGATCGGGTTTAGGGATGGCAATGGGCCAGGTCGGGCCGGGTAGTGCCATACCCAGATCTGGCCCGTGACTCTACACGCGTGGCCCGACCTGGCCCGTGCCCCGCTACGGGTCCACCAGGATGGCCCCAAGACCCCGCCGGCCCGCCCTGACCCNTTTTTTTTTTTTTTTTTTTTTTCTGCAACTATACCTCACTCAAACATGCAACTTCTGATTTTAACAAAAAAAGGTCACCTGATGGAAATTTCAAATATCATACAAAGAGAATTTTTTTAAAAAATGAATATTACAAAAATTAAGCAAATCAAACTTCAAAACCCTAACTAATTATCCACACAATAATTGCTTCTATTTTCCAGCGTGTTCGTCATCTGCAATCACCGTTTGGCCCGTCTCCCAACCGTGGCCCGCATCCTTCTCCCAGTTGTGGCTCGCGGCCGCCGCCTCCCAACCCAAGTTTGAGACATTTCAGACTGCAACCCTCAATTTCCCAGATCTGTGAGTCTGTGAATGCAAAGACAAAGGGATAAAGAGAGAAGAAAAAGAAAAAACTGAAGTAGAAAAACTTTGGAGGGAGAATAAAAGAATGAGAAAGAGAGTACAAATATTAGAATAGAGAAACTGAAAGTGACGCTGGGAGAAGTGAGAGAAGAGGGGAGAAAAACAAATAAGAAAAGTGAGTGACGCCTGTGTTAAGTGGGAGAAGAGGGGAGAAAAAAAAAAAGAAAAAGTGAGAGAAGGTATGAGTGGCAGGTAGGAAAATTAATAGTCTTACTTTCTCTAGCAGGTCAGGTCGGGGCGGGGCATATCGGGCGGGCCAACATAAATGCCCCGGACCTGGCCCGTTTACGCAACGGGGCGGACCTGCTCTGGCCCATTTTGATAACAGGCCGTGTCCAACTCCCCCAAATCCTGCAGGTCGGGCCAGGTCGGACCAGGTCCGGGCCAAATTGCCATCCCTAATCGGGTTGAACACTTTCCACCTTGAACGATCCTTTTTCTTGAGCTTCTGATAACTTGCAATATGTTGGAAAGGGGGACTCGGCAGAAATTCTCTGACGCTCAAGTCAGAACTCGCTCAACTGTCAGTGTACATAATATAGAGAACAAATTGTGGATTGTGCGATGTGTAATATGAGAGAACCAATTGTCCTTTTATAGAACTTGATACCTTGAAGACGAATAGAGTTCTTGTTGGGGAAGAGATCCAACCGGATTCTACTTTCCTAACTTAACACGTTTCTTTCTTGACAAAAGTCCTTGAGCGAGTATTCTTTCCTTCTTGTTTGGATTCTTCCCCCTTTTTACTGTTTTAGCCTGGAAATCCTTAGGTCGTAAGTCTGGCCTCTCATTTTGTTTGTTATGGCCCTTCCGATGACGTACCTGACCTTGTCCCGAGACCTGATCCAACCTTGTCTTTAGGTCCGACCTGCCCCCAGAACACCCGAACTCGATGTATACCGAGGTCAGCTACTTAACTGGGCTCTTGGAGGCCGATAGCTCCAAGTCATGTCCGTTCTATTAGTTCGGTGCCTTAAACCCGTGTCCGAGCTACATAGGCCGAACAACTTGTCTCTGTACTTACTAGAGTTCTCCTAGTCCTACCGTAGTCGAGTTACCCTCTCAGACCAACATATCGAGCTATTTCAGGGTGCTATAAGGTCAAAGGTGCTAAATGGTGGTTGAAGTTATAATAATTGGGCATAACGCTACCCTTATATCCTAGTTTCTTAAGTCCAACAGCCAAATCTCGGAGGGTGGGGACAATATGAGAACTTAAAAATCAAGGTTTTTTCGTACGTCTCAATAAGAGAGGAAATATCAGGCTCATGAAGACTTACCATGTGTTATCCCTCTTCGGTGTAAGAAATGGACGCTCGGGGGTTGTCTCGATAGGTGTCAAAGGTCAAACTCCGATGGTGTGTCGCGCCGGTGGATTTGCCGGTAATCACGTCCCGAAAAGAGCCAGGGCCATTGGAGGTGGTGCCCGTCGGGGTGCCCACTGGAGGAGTTCCGGCATGAGGAGCTCTGGAGTGTTGGGCCGTGGAAAGGCCCGAAAAAGTGCCCGTCGGGGACTGGCCGGTCAAAAGGGGACAGGTGAGTATGGCCGAGGTGCCAGAAACCGATGAAACGGGGCCCGTTAGAGAAAAGGGCCGCCTAGGGCCCAGAATTCTGAGTGACAAATTTATAACTCCGGTGATCGGAGGGCCATCGGCGCTGAGATCACCGGCTGGCGGTGTAATGGAGGCAGCGGCCACAAGCAGTCCAAATGCAACGGTTGCATAGGCTAAGAGCTGGCTGATTCGACGGCTTTTTTCAATCAGCGGTATTCCCCTCAGAACGACTTGAGCTGCAAATCGTATGTGTTGGGGTGAGGGGTTAAATCGTGTGAGATTTTTGGGAGAGGTGGGGGCGGGCTGGGGATTAAAGGAATTAAAAGTGGGCTGTTTGGGGGATGTGGGTTGGTTTGGTGAGGTGGAATGAGTGGGTTGGGTTGAGATTGGAGTGGGTTGGGAATGTGGAGTGACGGGTAAAAGAATAGGCTGAGGGTTTGGGGGGCTTTGGGTAGAATGTATGTGTTGTGTTGTGGTTGTGATGGGCTGGGAATCAATGATGGGGATTGGGGCTAAGAGAGGCAAAGATTGAGGAGGGCCTGCAAGGGGACTTACTTGGGCTTCAGGCGTCGGTCAAAAGAAAATTGGAGACTTAGCCAGGCCTGTAGAAGGGAGAATCAAGCCGTCTAGGTGCTAGTCAATCAATGGCAGTGGGAGCTCCACGTCACCATATGCACGCCGCCAGAGGGAGCTTTGAGATTGGTCAGAGTCAAAGTAGAGCCTTTGATTGGCGAGGTAGTGGAATCCGGCCTGAGCACCGGCGGGAGGAGCCGAGGCTTCCCGGACGAGGCTGGGTCTCCACCGAGTTTACCACCGGATGGGGAAGGTTGACGACTGAACCAACGCTGGCGACAGCTCCTTGCCGGCGACTACGGCTGAGGATGAAGGACTCACATCCTTCACATAGCTGTGGTAGTCGGCGATGGGCGAGGGAGCCATGGCCGATAAGAGAGCCGAGATGAAGAGCTCTCCTCCGCTATCTTTTCCATTTTTACGGTATTTTGCCAAGAGAGATAAAAAACCGACCTTAAACTCCGAGAAGAAACCGTCTAACTCTGATATGAGGGTGACCGGGTTCTGGGAAGGGTCTGCCAGAAAAGAGGTCGGCACTGGGACAGAGGCCATGGGGCTGACACCGGACAGGAAAAAAGAAAAGCAGAAAGGNATAGATATAGAGATTAAAAAAGAGAGAGAAAGAGAAAATGAAAATGAAAATAGGATATTAATTTTTATTATTAATAATAAAAATATAAAGGAAGTATTATGAACAAGTGGAATGTACCACTATTCATGAATAGTAATGTGAATATTAAGGGGTATGGGATGTTAATAATTTATGTAGAATTGTCAGTAGAATTTGCATATAAAAGGCACACCAAATGAAGTGAAAAAATATGCATTTAGAAGAAAGAAGAAAGATTGAGTATAAGTTATATCCAGTTTCTATATTGCGTTATTTATATTTCCGTTTTATAACACGTTATCAACACGAATGCTCTACTCGGTCAGAAAGGTAGGAATATACTAATAATATATATATATATGTATATATATTACATAATAGTAGTATATTTTACTAATCTACATATTATCATTATTTTTTACAAGTAAAGGCTCTGTCATAGTCAAGAATATGTGGTATGAATATACTAAATATGACATT